CTGCCCACTGTGTCTCTAGTTGTGTCTCATGCGCCGTGCTGTTTGGGAATCGTTTTTTATGTATATTTGTTATGCAGAAGAGGTAGTGACCAACCAGTCTGGGCACACAGACAGCTTGCTTTGTTCTTTCATTTCCTCCAACACTTTCTTTCCTTCTGAGTCCAGTGCGAGAGCTTTTTCTTTTGCTCCATGTCGCTGCTGCCAGCTTCTCCTCTCTTGGCCCAGCTCCCGGATTGCAGTCTCCCGGCAGCCTCCCCTCAGTTGTCCCTTCTCCTCCCGCCCAGCCCGCCGCGTGCATGTGAGGCCTCAGTTTCCGCTCCATCAACGTGGAAGTTCTGAGGCAGCAGGGACGTTGGTGGCGGTGGCCTCATCTGCTGCCGAGCCTCCAGCCCGCTCCGCGCCCTCTGCCTGTGGAAACACTTCTTTGCCTTGCTGCCTGTGCAAATGTTGGCCACGGAGACAGAACCACACTAATCCCCAGCTTAGCACAGAGCTGGAGAGCCGGTTTCTGGAATTTTCCATTGAAGAATTTTCCACTAAGAATCTCCATTTCTGGGGTTTATCTGTTCTGTCTCCTGCCCACCAGTAAGGCATCTTTGACTGTTTGGTGTGTGTGGTTTTCTTTTCCTTCTATTGCTTTTCAGTTCCTTTTACCCCAGTGTTCTGTTTCTTTTCAGTGTAAAGACTTACAAATGACCTGCTATCCAGATAGCCAGTCAGGAAAGAACCAGGAGGAGAGGAGAGATCTGGGCTGCAGAGGGCATAAGTAAGGTGGAGAGCGCAGTGCCTGCACCAGAGATGTGTGGGTTGTAGGGAAGCAGCCCTGGGGAGTGAGGGGTTAGTGGCTTTTCTAGGGGATCCAGGCTTCCTGGCGGGCAGCAAATACGGCTGAAGCAGGTGTTCAGAGGCAGGCAGGCTCCACCTTGGAGACTAGCCCTTCCCCTGGCACTTCATGTACCTCATGGTACTTTTGCCTTAGATTTTACACATTCTTCACAGCCACACACTGCCACAGGGCAGCCCACTGGCATGTGTGCTCCAGGACCCTGGAAGAGGCAGAGTTTTGAGTGCCTGGCGCTGTGGTGCTGCCCCTCCAAGTTTAGCTCTGCCCCCCCCAGCCCTGGCTCCTAGATGTACCCCTGTGGATGAAGTCTGGGAAACTCCAGATGAGGCTACTCAGCCACCTGCCTTTCTTGGAATTGGGCTCTGCTGAGGGTTGCTTGCTGACACCCCAGAGGTGGGATCAGCAGACTGTATTCCCAACTCTAAGCGAGAGCTAATGCTCTCTTCTGGAGTGACGTGTCCCAGGGTGCAGTTTCCCTATTGTGGCAGCTGGGAGGGCAGGGACTCCCTGGCTGCAGGAGCTGAAGCTGTGGCGTGCAATGCCCTGGCTCTCCTATTAGAAGAGGGAAGGTTCTTGGTCCTCAGGACTAGAAAGGGCAGCTGCCAGTTTGTGCTCAGGGCTAAGTCTTATAAAAAGGTTTGCTGGCCCAAAGACTGAAGCGCTCGCTCAGTAGGGCTTGTCTGATCCTAGTTTACGCCTATTCCATAGATCATGGTCAGAATGATACTGTTGGAGGAAAGAGATGCCTGAGAGAATTGCTGACCACACAGCTGCCCGTTAGCAGCTCAGCAAGGATCGCTGCTACCTTGGTTGGGAGATGGACAAAGGACACCACTGGAGTGTACAGGTCCCAGTTGGGACCAGTCCGCCCCTCAGTTGTGTGGCATGCTTTCTCCAAAAGTGGCTGACAGGAGCAGGCTGGAGGGCCCAGCTGGAGCAGGCTGTAGCCAGAATTGGGTGCTTCTCATCTCCCAGAACCCCACAGGAAAGGTGTGCTTCTCACATCAGATAGCTAGTGCAGCTCCCAAATTTGCTTAGGCGTTGTGAAAGCAAAGCAAAAGGCTTATTGTATTTATAAACTGCACCTCTGGTGCGAGGAGAGGCGGGAACCAGCCCTGGACTAAACTGCACAAAGAAGTTACCCTGTGGGTTCTCCTGAGACGGGCTGTGCCGCCCAGGTGCCCTGTGGCCACGTGCCTGGTGGCAGGCTGGGCCACCAGGAGCACAGCAGGTGGGCAGCAGAATCTAGATGGGCCTGTCCCTGCTGGGCAGCGGCTGAAGGTTGCTCAGAGTATTTGCTAATACAGATCGGATGAGACCCTTCATTAATATTTGACTTTAATAAGTTGGTAAGGATATATTTTTTTTGTCTATGTTCTGTTTTGACTTATGTAGATTATTATAAATTGATGTAAACCATGTGAGAGGAAAATGTTAATAAAAAAAATTGCAAAGCCCCAACATTTGCACAAAACAGCCCTGTAGTTGGATGTTTGTGTTCTTAGAGGTCCTGGGAGAACCAGTCTAAATATTTAACTCTTCCAGCTGTACCCAGATGTGCTTCCAGGAATCTGTGTACCTAGTTAGCTCCCCTTAAGGCTTCCTTTCTAACGGCCTTGCCGTCAGCATCTGCTCAGCTCGTGACACAGGAATGCCCCACAAGGAGCCTGCCCAGCAGGAAACCTCATGAGATGGCAGGAAGCTGTCCTTTAGAGAGGCTGCTGCTTATATGTAAACTCACTGGTTTTTCTGTTTCCCTGTGAAACGGTACGGCTTTGGGGCTGCCTTTGGTCTGATCCATTTACTGTCGATGCTGGACCCAGCCTCCCTTTAGATGTCAGTGGGGTTAAATGCAGGTTCCCACCAGCAAGGCCACTGGACACTGTTTACTCTGGAGATCAGGAACAGATGTCTGAGAATTCATGTTTGGTTTATGAGCTCATACTGACTCCCTAGCCATCTACAACAGGAAGCTATCCATCTCTCCTGACTGAAGAGTCAAGGTGAACAATGCTTGGGTTATTGAACTGATGGCTTCTGACAGCCCCAGGGTTCATCTTCGCAGGGCTGTGACAGGGGCAGAAGTCCCCACATTCATTCACACAGTGTGCCTGCTCCTGTATTGAGATGGCCTTGCACCCTAACAGGTGCCAGGTGGAAGCATGACTGTCCTTGTCTTCCAAGTGCTTCCAGTAATTAAGGGACAGAACAATGAAAGTTATACAGGTTTCAAGTCTTTTGTGCATAGGGTCGCCATGAGTCGTCTATGACTCAACGGCACTTAACAACAACATAGAGTTCTGTTAGCCTCCTGGATAGAAAGTTATGCCACCAAGCCAAAGGTGGGTGATTTTAATCTGTGGCCCTCAGGCATGGTTTTGTTTTTGGTCAAACATTCCTCTAAGTGGTACAGCACTGGTCTGTCCATTTGCTGTACAGAGGTAACTTGTGACTGCTGTGATGCTAAACATTGTGACACTGATGTGTCAAATGCAATAATGGTTACCCGTGGTGGAGCTTCCCGACTAAAACAAGCTTGGAAGCAGGAGTGGCATCCACTTCCGAAATAGCTTGCCTCCAGAAACTCTATGAATGTGGAAAAACGATGAAAGTTATACAAGTGTTCAGTTATTTTATTCATAGGGTAGGGTCACTTTGAGTCATCTATGACTTGACGGCACTTAACAACAACAGGATTGTTCTCAGACCTCTGGGGTCGTAGCCTAGCAGTAAGGAGACTGGGTCAAGAATTACATAGACTCTGCCGGGAAAGGAGGGACAATCTCCTCCTGTACCAGTCAGATCTGATTTGACGGTACACAGACACACAAAAATAATAATAAAATTAAATTTTAAAAAAAAAATAATTACATAGACTTCACCATAGAAGGACATGAGCCCTGGGGGCTAGCTCACATTCCAAAGTGAAAAACAGAGGACTAGAGGAAGGTGTTACCAGCTGTGTTTGACATTAGCACTCACATCCAAATACACACCCAGGATGCCTGTATAGTAAAGCTGAGGTTATGGATTCTAATGAAGGGTGGGCCACAAGACAGAGCTGATAGGGGGCAGAATAAAGAAGACAAAACATGATCATTTGGTAGGACTAAAGGAGAAACATTAGCAGGAGGTGGCTGAGATTACATGGCCCCACCAAACCTACCCACCTGGCTTGCAAGAAGCAGAAGTCAGAGGCTTCCTTTTTCCAAAGTCAGAAAGCACCAGTGGCAAAGCCCAGTTTCTAGCATACAATTAGGCTGAGCTATGTTTTCAGAAAAGCCATGAAGTCAAAAACACTAATATTAAAACAGAAAACAAATGCTGGAGAATAAAGCTAGTCGTCTTAAGTCTGGTCACTAGGATGGCCAGCAGGACCCTCTACACATATCCTCAAACTTAACCAACATGGCTCCTGTAGGCCCGCCTAGCAGCCGGCCCACAGGAAGGACTGTTGGAGGTACTCAGACTTATAGCCAGAATTCCAATGCAGCCCAGGAAGTGGCTCGGGCTCTTTGTGGGAAAAGCCTGGGCAATGTGATGATCTTAGGGAGGATGACTGTATTCTGTAAACTCTTAGATCTAGCATCTCCGGACTTATCAAAAGCTTTCCCATACTGTCCCTGCAGATGTTCAATCTTTGGGCTACTGCACATTTCTTAAAGATTGTGGATTTTGGAAATAAAAACACTTTTCAAACTTTAATATATAGATTTTAGTTGTGTTTTTAAATGAGGATGGGAGAACACTAAACAAAATGACTTAACTGGGCTCTATTGACGGACTTCATCCTGCCCAGATCCACGAGATGATGGGCTGCACAGAAGGCTGACACTCAGCAGCCCCTGGGTGTGTACAGGAACATGTTTGCCCTGCAGAACCAAATGGCCAAAGGACCATCTGGTCAGCACAGAACTTTGGAGCTTCATTCCTAAAAATTAACACGTGCTAGAAACATCGCCCCATACAGCTGAAGTCCTGGCATAGAAAGTGGGGCAGGCTGCAGCTGGGTTGCTTCCTTATAACACCAACCATGAGGGAAAACAGAAATGTATCTGGTCTTCCAAACAAGTGCCCTGGAGTAGTGCAGAAGCTGACCTCCTCTGAATGGCTCTGGTAGTGAGTTGGTGGTATCCTCCTCCACAGGGACTGCCTCTCACCGCAGGTAATAATCAATGGCCGCAGAGAAGGCAGCAAAACCTCCACAACCAATGACCCCAGCCTTTAAGCCAGCTGTAAAGCAAACAAATGATTTATTACCATGGTGACAAACGTTGGAGTCAGGCTGCTTGGTAAAGTCTGCACACCCCCCTGATGCAAGAAAGCTGGCCGAAGCATTCTAAGTCACTCCTCTGCCAGGCCTGGGGGACTTCAGTGAAGTTAAGTCCTCTTCCTAATGCAATGTGCTTTCATCTAACTGTCCAATTGCTTAACTTTTCTCATTCCAAAGAACATTTCCAATCTCATGGAAATAGCCCTTTACACACAGGAAATTTAGTTAAGAGAACCAGCCGCCAGAATCAAGTGAAAGCATATGCCTTTTACTCTGATTTGTTTATGGAATAAATTCCTGGGAGGTGATCAAAGCAGTCCAAGGAAGCTAAGCTGCTCAAGAGACCCTAACAAAGCTGAGTAGATGGGAAGGCCAAAGGGGAAGTTACTTTAGAAATCACACATGATTATATGAGGACCTAAAGAAGGTTTTAATGGCAAGTCATCCTGGCTCTCAGAATTTGAGAAGCAAATGGGCTCTGGGCTTGGGTGAGTCAGGGCACAACAGCTGGGGAGTGACCCAGCACTGGACGTTCCTTCTAGGGAAACTCACTGAGCCCAAAAGGACAAACTGTGATGAACATGAGGCTAAACTTGGAAATGGTTTATTGTTGCTTACAGCTGATAATAATTTCTAGAATCCTTCTATTTGGCTTTCAAAGAATAGAAATTTAAGAATCTCCCAACTACAGAAAGACATCGCTGTGATAAGACACACAAAATGAAAGCCGACAGCTGCACAGTAGTATTAAGAAAAATGTCTAAGTACTTGAACTGCATCAAACTGGGAGTTCTACAACCCTGGTATGTGGCCACATGGGATATGCAAGGTTGAGTGGGACTTATTGATGCTTCTGTAAGAGCCTGGCTAGCAGCCACTCCACTGATTACTTACTGTGTACAGGTTCTTACTCATGCCTTCTGTTTTTTCAATAATGGGACAGCCCTTTTTTTTTTAAAAAGACAGCTCTAGATTAGTGATTCTAAATGGGAGGCCGTTTTGCCCACCAAAGAGTGTATGACAGTGTCTGGATACAGGCATTCTCAGTTGTTAGAACTGAAATGGTGTTACCTGCACCTAGTGGGGAGAGACCACGATGCTGCTAAACGTCTTATAATATCCAAGATAGGTTCCCACAACAATGAATTAACTAGTCCAAAATGTCAATAATGCTAAAGATAGGAAACTCTTGATTTATAAGTTTCTAAAACTGAGCTAACACAGAAGGAAACATGATTAAGTTGTCAGAAGGGAAGAATATCAAGGGTCCACATACACCTTGGGCTGTCCCTGAAACACAAGTTTGGAAATGTAAACTGCAGCACGCTGTCCAAAACCACAAAAAACCCCCATTCAAGGGCTGTCTACTAACCTCTAAAACCAATGGCTCCTCCAGTGATACAACCACTAATGACACTGTTCTTCCAATCCGATTTTCCCCGGTACTGTGGGTTGAGAAGCACAGTTTAGAGCCAAAGAAACAAGCCAGACAAGATGATTAAAGGGGAAAAAAACAGGGTTTTTGGTTTGCTAATTTAACTCCTGTCCAAGGAGAACACTCCCAACAGTAGTTCCTAAAGCCTGGATGTGTTTAGAGATGCATCCTGCAGGTGGCACCAGAGCACCAAAGTCAAGGGTCGTATCTTTTGAAGGTGTCAAAATCTTAAGTCTTGTATTTTAAATCATAGCCCTTATCATAAACTCACAAATCAAAGAATTTACAATAGGTGTTATTTCTATCTAGAAAATCTCAGGTATTTGTGATTTGCATTCTAATAATAACGACATTAAGAGTGCATTTTCCTCTAAAGGTGACAATAGCAAGGATTTCACTGATAGTTGAGACACTTACAGATTCCACCAAACACTCAGTGCATGAGAACATGGCGCCCACGATGGCAAAGTTTTTGGCATAGGACATTCCTCTCTGTCCCATATCTTTAAGGACTTCTTTAGCAGTTGGTGTCCGGTAGGGATCCTTGGGATCAAAGCCCACATTGGTGTCAATGCCAGCAGTGAACACTCCAAAGGCACCTCCCAAGACGAAGCCTAAGGAAGAATCACAGTAGTGAAGATTTCTTTGGCTTGTTTTCTGGACTGTTCTGTTACACTCAGACAGTCTTCCGGATGGCCCCCAGTGGAGCATGACTGACAGCCGCCTTCCTGCCACCCTCCTTCCGGCCAATCTCTCCTCACCCTCAAGTTCTAAATTACACAATCTGCTGACAGCATCTTCTCCCTCTCAAATTTCTGTCTCCTTTCACTTCCTACCACTCAAGACTCAGTCTTCAGCCTTCTGTTTTCTTTTTTTTTTTTCTATAATTATATTTTATTAATTTTCATAAACATTTACAGAGATTTTGGGCTTCCACTCATTCATTGTTGCACTATTCTCTCT